TTGAGACAGGGTCTCACTCTGTCACCCAGGCTGGAGTACAATGGCATGATCTTGGCTCAAGTGACCTTCCTGCCTCAGCTTCCCGAGTAGTTGGGACTACAGGTGCATGCTACCATGCTCAGCTAATTTTTGTATTTTTAGTAGAGATGGGGTTTTGCCATGTTACCCAGGCTGGTTTCAAGCTGCTGATCTCAAGTAATCCTCCTGCCTTGGCCTCCCAAAGTGGTGAGATTACAGGCATCAGCCACTGCACCGGGCCTACATTTGTTAACATGAAGAACTTTCCCCCCATCCTTTTTTTTTTAAAGCCAGTCAGATTTCGCAGTGAGAAAGAATATTTTTAGTTGGTAAGAGAGACTGGTACAAATTGTGTTTTTAAAAGTGTGTGTAATACATATTTTTCACTCCTCTGAAGAATAAATTTTTGAAGTAGCCGCAAGATGATATCTTCAGAATTGATAACCTGGGCCAATCAATATCTTTGATTTTTACCTATGAATATACCTGTGCTGATAAAATATCAAAGGATGGCTGACAGATCTTTGTTCTAAATGCATTTTAGGAATCTTCTAGTAATATCTGAACGCAAGGAATAAAGTAGTCTCTGCTGGGCAATAAATGAAAATGTGCTACATAAAATAGTGACCTTAATCTTAATGCAAATTTAAGACAATCCAATCAGTGGCTTATCCAGCTCAAAACTGAATGTAGAGGCTCTAAGTCCAGAATCCTTTGGAAATGACTGACACTTTCACGATTCTGAGGAAAGAAACAGAAGTTTATTGCCGGGGGAGCGGGTCTCTTACCTGGCGTAACTTCCTTCTAGAGCAGGGTCCTCGCTGTTGTGCCCAAGGTAGTGGTCAATCAACTTCTCTCGAGAGGCCTTTGGGAGCAAAACTTCCGCTTAGTGTCTCAGAGAGGAGGAGAAACAACACAAACCCTAACTACAAGATTTACTTCATATAAAGCTGTCAGCAAGATTCAGTGATTCCCATCTTTCGGAGGGACAGCCACAATTGTTAAAGACAAGTTTAATACGCTAAAGCTCCCAAACATATCTGAAAGTTATTCACTAGTCAATTTTGTGCAGATTATAAAAGTGATACTTTTTTTGGGTGAAACTAAATGACCCCCTTCTGTTAGAAAAACATTTACTTCCTTAGGAATGAAGACTTTCCAAACTTACAGTATTGCTTTCATCACTGAAATCTGCAGGGTCTCCAATGATGTTTATGGCAACCAAAGCAACCTGAGAAAGTGTTAAATGAAGAGAAATTAAATATACAATGTCTAAAATGACTCAACCCCTTTACTTACTCTGAGACAGGGTCCCGTCTGTCACCCAGGCTGGAGTACAGTGGTGTGATCATGGCTCACTGAAGCCTTGACCTCCTGGGCTCAAGTGGTCCCCAGACCTTAGCTGCCCTAGCAGCTGGGCCTTCAGGTGTGAGCCGCCATGCCCTGCTCATTTTTGTGTTTTTCTGTAGAGACAGGATTTCGCCATGTTGCCCAGGCTGGACTTAATCCCTTTATAACAAGCTCTGACCTACATTGTTATCAAATAGGATAACGTATATCAAAGTGCATTAATTCTTAAAATGTTGTGCTAAAGAATTTTTAATAATTAACAAAGAATTTTAAATAAGTTACGTTAGTATTCTAATGCTTAATCAAATGGTTATTTTAACCATTTAAAGGATGTACAAATCATAATAGCTAAAAAGTCCCAAAGTTTTAACATAGCTTCGTAATGACAGGTCCACTCAAGATTCAGTGTGGGGGTCATCTTTATAGGACCTTGGGAAATGAGACGGTGAAGAGTTAAATTAACACAGCTCAGTTTATCCACTTTGGTGAGTCTCACCTGAGGTGGGGAGTCATTTTTCCATCCTGCACCCCCAACCACTGTAGACCAACTGCTCAGCCAGGGCATTGCTGGTAAACACATGCAGGTGGGTGGAGGAAGGAAAGAGTTAAGAAGCATTCCTCTGGCTTCCTGGAGCATAATGCTGTAAGGGGCCAGGCGGCAAGACTAGACCTTTGCCCTCTTGTCTAGAACACTTGCTTGGTCTAGAGACTTGATTTGCTGGGTGCTTGCATTTCTCTTGGAGGGGGCAGGGAGAGTTGTAAATACTTGTGCTAATTAACAAGATTGCTTTGGATACAATTGATTTCTACGACACTAATCCTGTAAGAAAAAGAAAGGAAAAAAAGAAGGAAAGAAAGGGAGGAGGAAGGAGGAGACTAAGAATTAGTGGCTTGGAGCTGAGGGATCCTGGGCTACATGCAGCCTTCATGTGCTCCCGCAAGTCAGGAGGGTTTATCGCAACTCTACTGTCCTGCACGATAGAAGGTGAGCCACATGTGTCATGAAGGTTAAGTAAGCATATTAGAAAATTAAAAAGAATCAGGGAGATTAATTTTAGTAATACAGTTTACACATGTCCAAAATATTACCATTTCATCACATACGACTGATATAAAAGTTCTCACGAACTCCTTCGCATTCTCCTTTTGTATGGACTCTCTGAAGCCCACTGTCTGGTGGGCTTGCAGCAGCTCTGGGCACTAGGCCAGTTCCCCTTGGGCACTGACCACGCGTGCCCAGAGGCCACCGGATCAGACGGCACAGCTCAGAGAGCTCTGCAGTCTCCCAGAGCAGATCCTTAAAGATCATCCTGAAAATGCATCTAAGAAAAGATACATGATCACATAATCCCGCAAAGAAGGTAGGTGCAGAATCAAAGGTGAAGCTGCATGCCTCTTACCTGATTATATATGTTGTATTTGTTGACATGGTTTTGGTGGAAAATCAGTTTCAGAAACTGTCCTACTGCATCCACATAAACTGATTTTAGTTCCCGGGCCTTGCAACCTGTCTTTCCGTTATCACAGAGAGAGACGTAGCTGAAAGAACAAACACAGCTGAAGAACACACTCATTTGAAAATGTGCTGTTCAATAAAACTGTCCTCTGTTCTGATTGAACTCAATAGGCTTATTTATTTATATTTTATTTTATTTTTTGAGATACAGTCATGCTCTGTTGCCAGGCTGGAGTGCAGTGGCGCGATTTCGGCTCACTGCAACCTCTGCCTCCCGGGTTCAAGTGATTCCCTTGTGTCAGCCTTCTGAGTAGCTGGGACTACAGGCATATGCCACCACGCCCGGCTGTTTTATATTTTAGTAGAAATGGGTTTCACCATGTCGGCCAGGATGGTCTCAATAGCCTGAACTTGTGATCTGCCCGCCCTGACCTCCCAAAGTGTTGGGATCACAAGCATGAGCCACTGTGCTTGGCCTATTTATTTTTATTATTTTACTTTTTTTTTTTAGACGGAGTTT